TGTGTTGCTAATTCATTTATTTTTTTCTGAATAGCATGCACACTTGAGTAGAGAGAGATTAATTTTGCTTTATACCATTTTTCCTCCTTTGATCCTTATTACTGCTGTTTTCAATGCTTGTATACTATGTTCCTTCCTGTACCACTCCTGGGTATTGTTATCCAAATGCTTACCCCATAATTTTACCATATCCTTTTTGCTTTGTAAGCCTACATTAACCCTCTCCCAAACTTTCCCCTACTTGCTCCAATTAGTTCAAAGCCTTCTCTACAGCCCTAGTTTTTCATTCCAGTATGTTTCAAGTCAAGCCTGTCTCACCAGAACAGCTTCCTTCTACCCCAGTACTGGTGCCAGTACTCCATGCACTGAAACCAATCTTACCCACATCATCTTTGAGCTACATATTTAACTCCTTGACTTTATTTACCCAATGTCACTTTGCCCATTGCTTAGGTAGTAATTCAGAGATTATTTCATTGGTTTTCTGCTTTATAATTTAACTAAACTATTGAAAATCTTACAGCAGATTCTCCATATTAGTCCTATAAAAACCATTGGTACCAATGTAGATTGTTGGATCCCTCCCCTTCTTTTGCAAATTCTTCCCCAAGGAGATGCCATTTGCCTTCGTAATGGACAGGCAACACAGCCTTTGGGAATCCTGCTACAGTGAACAGTACCTATACCCTTAATTATACTGTCCCTAACCACTACTACATTCCTATTTCCTCCCTCTCTTGAATGGCTCTCTGTGCCAAAGCTCCATGATCAGTCTGCTCATTCTCCATGCAAGTCACTACCTCCTGTCCCTGATGACAGATCAATTTTGAAAGAGGTAGCCATGGAAATAGTGCATGTGTTTGTTGTCATCTTCCAAAATTATGTATATTCTGGAACAGTATCAGCAGACTGGAGTGTGGCAAATGTAACTTTTTGTCAAGGGTTCATCAAAAATTTATGAAAAAGGTGGGGAAGAGAGAAAGCAGAGAAGTACTGACCAGTTAGCCTAATAATATAACATCTGTAGTATGTAAACTGCTAGTGTCTATTGTAAAGCATGTGATGAGGACATATAGAAAATATCAACAGGATTAGACAAAGTCAACAAGGATTTATGGAAGGGAAATTACGTTTGGCAAACTTAAGTTGTGTTTTTTTTAGGATTTCACCAGTAAAGTAGATAAAGAAGAACCAGTGGATGTAGTGTATTTTGGATTTTCAGAAAGCTTTGTTAACGTCCCACGTAAGACATTATTGTGCAAGGTTGCAGAAAACAGGATTGAGGGTAATATACCAGCATGGATAAAGAATTGGTTAGCAGATAGGAAACAGAAGAAATTAATGTGTCTTTTATTTTGCAGTATAATGTGGGGTACTCAGAGATCAGCTTTCATTATGTAAACTAATCATTTAGATGAGGAAATCAGATGTATTTTTTCCAAGTGTGCTCTTGTCTCAAAACTAGGAAGAATTGTGAGTAATGAGGAGGAAGTAAAGAGACCTCAAGGTAATTTAGATAAATTGAGTGATTGGGCACATACATGGCAGATGCAATATAGCATTGCTAAGTGTGAAAATATTCATCTCAGTATGAAAAACAGAATGGCAGAGTGGTTATTTAAAAGGTGATAGATTAGGAAATGTTTATACAAAAGTGGATCTGAATGTCCTTGTACAAATCACTGAAAGCAAGCTGGTGCATGCTTGTAGCCTTCATTGCAAAATGATTTGAGCATAGGAACAAGGATGTCTTATTGCAGCTGTACATGGCTTTGGTGAGACCACCCCAGAGTGTTATGTGTAGTTTTAGTTTCTTTACCTGAGAAAAATATTTATTTGCAATAGAGGGAGTACACAAGAGTTTACCAGACTGATTCCTGGAAAGGCAGATTTGTCTTATGAGGAGAGATTGGTTTGATTAGGGCTGTATTCATTGGAGTTTAGAAGAATGAGAAACAACCTCATTGATCTGTATAAAATTCTGACAGGACTGGACAGACTGAATGCAAGGACTATTATTCTCCTGATTGGGACTCTAGAACAAGGCTCCATTGTCTCAATATACAGGATAGACCATTTAGGATTGAGATGAGAAGGGCATGTAAACCTGTGGATTATTCTACTACATAGATTGGTGGAGGCCGTATCGCTGAATATATTTAAGAAATAAATAGATTTCTAAACTATAAAGGGATCAAGGGCTATGGGGAGAATACAGGAGTATGACATTGAGATATAGGATCAGATGTGATCTTATTGAATGGCAAAGCAGGCTCAGTGGGCCAAGTTCATACTCCTGCTCCTATTTTCTATGTTGCTATATTTCATGAAGCCACCCCTAAGGAGTAAAGGGGGTGTTAATATTTGGATGTTTGTGATCACAGTTACCCATTAGAGGCAGTTGATGGCTTGTAGCAATTCTCTAATAGTTTATTGGGTTTGTTAAGCAACAGTTTCGATACGATATATCAGTTAATTAGTCAAAGAAAGTACACTACCTTGAGAGATAAGAAAGACTGGTCTTGAATCTGTCCTGTAGAATGGAGTAGCAGTAGAAGTGGTCTTAAAATGGTGTTTGTTTGTTCTTCCCTTGGAGTGAATTAGGGCAACTCCTGGTCTTCTCCCAGGAAGATCCTGGCTCATTTTCCTGGACCCTGTCACTCGTACCCATCTCTTACCACCTATCCCTGTTGATATACATCATAATGGCCACCTATGCACGGTCACTTTCCTGTCTAAGCTCTTTCGGCCAATGACCATGGGCAACTATTCATGATGCCAGGATGATTGTTGTTCCCTTGCCCACCTCCATTTGAAGGTTAGCATTATTTCCTTCTAAGAACTAACTGTCTTTCTTTGAAAATATTGCAGGAGTAATAGGGTAGTGTGGTGCTTGATAAATATTTTGTTTATGCCTGAGGGAAGCTAGTTACTAGTGTAACACAGTTAAATGAGATTTCATACTACACAGGAAGTACTGTTTAAAGTGCACCCCAATTCCAACAGACATTAAGCAGTCACCTGTTGAAATTTTTGACCAGGGTATTTTGTGGTCGCGGTGGGTTCTTGAAGCTGGAAGACCAATTAGATCCATTCCAATTTAAAGGAGCAGGCAACTATATTACAGAGAACAGGGAGGGTGCTTCAACATGGAAATGCCCTCTCAGTAGCTCATCTTGAAAACTTAAATATAACATAGAAAAAGTAGAGAGGCTACCACTTTTGGGAGGTGTGTTCACCGTGAAAGGAATACTCTCTTTGGCATTATCTTTGGAGCAGTTATATCAAAGCAGGGTGGACCTGACAACCTGCCTACCTGCCAGATTAGAAAGTTGGAGCTCGACTGGAAAATCCCAGTTGGCCTCTTTTAGTTGTTGTTAATAAGGTTCTTCTTAATAAGCTTTAATTGGCTGCTTCCCTACTAGGTATAAGCAGCCTTGCCAATGCCATGAATGTAACTCCTGTAAAATGCCAGTGCTGGGAAATAGTGTCATTCTCAACCTTTGGAGGACCTGAAAACCCTGCTCATGCAGACTGCAAAGCAAGGACTTATGAACAACCAGTATAAATTATACTTAAAATATTTTTAGAATGTTAAATAGAAAACAAACTAAAGATTGGAGTGAAAACAGAAATTGCTGTAAAAGCTGAGCAGGTCTGACAGCATCTGTGGAGAGAAATCAGAGTTAACATTGTGATTCCAGTGACTCTTGTTCAGAGCTGACAGTAGCTAGGAAAAAAGTTGGTTTTAATGCAGAAGATAGGGTGGGGAGGGGGTAGAGGGCGGTAAAGAGTAAACGATAAAATCATAGAACCCCTACAGTGTGGAAACGGGCCGTTTGGCCCAACAAGTCCATACCGACCCTCGGAGCATCCTGCCCAGACCCATCCCCCTATACTATACATCCCTGCACACTATGGGCAATTTAACATGTTCAGTCCACCTGCACATCTTCGGACTGTGGGAGGAAACCAGACCACCCAGGGGAAACAGGGAAATGTGCAAACTCCACACAATTGCCTGAGGGTGGAATTGAACCCTGGTCCCTGGTACTGTCAGGCAGCAGTGCTAACCACTGAGCCACCGTGCTGCCCCTGTGGTGGCATAGGTGGAGATAAAACCCAAGGAGAGAGAAGAGCAAAGAAGAATGAGAATTTTTCTCCACAGATTCTGCCAGACCTGCTGAGCTTTTCCAGCAATTCCTGATTTTGTTTCTGATTTCCAGCATCCACAGTTCTTTCAGTTTTCGTTAAAGATTGGAGAACACACATGACATTGAGAGAGACTTAAAATTGAAAACAGAAAGGAAACTGTTAAGCTATTTTAAATTTCATTTTTCTCAAAAGGTTCCACTTTTCACTTTTCTATTTTGGAAATGAGACTGTACAATTGTAAAACATGTCAGGCCAGCACTCATCGCTTATTGAACTGTTAAAAACAAAATCAGTTACTCATTTTATCTATCTTTAAAGTGAAAATATTGTATAATCAGCCTAAGTTTATACCATCACTGTGATTTCTGTGTGGATTCTATCAGCGAAAACTGCAACAGTGCATCTTGTGCAGGAATAGTACATCACCAACAATGGTTCTCAAACTTCTGCACTTTATTTGCACATGTGCAGATATCAGAAATCATTGGAAGTTTTGTCCAAGGCTAACAAAGAATCAATAGCTTTGCCATTATCAACATAAAAAGATTAAGACTATTCAATTATTTAAACAATGTTTAAGTTCTGAGTTGTTAAGGCTACATTTGATAAATTGCCATTTTTAGCCATGAAACAGTAAAATAAGCAAATACAGTTTATATATAAAGTGAATAATTACATTTCTTCCTTGTGTTTTATTCTCCCAGAATCTCTTTAAACGTTAGGTCACCTATAAATTTTGAGAGATTGAAAGGAAATTGGTGGCCTGCTTCCTGCTTCAAAATATACATTTGCTACTAGTGTAGAGTACAGTAGTATTTGATACTGTGAAATCCACTTTACAATAGGAATGGAATGTTTCTGGACAATCGATCCACATTCACAATGAGGACAAGCCATTGCAAAGCTCACGTTTCGGACACCTGTACAAAACAGTCCTACTATATGCCGGAAATGACAGGTAGTAATTTTTAAAAATATGCCAATAAACACCTTTTGCCTATTGTAAAAATAATTTTGTTTATTGCCAAAAATGTGTTTTATATATGCTTTATTGTTATACTAGAAAACTGTGAAATAAAGTAAGTTCTATTTTCTTTAGTTTTCAAACTGTGATTTACTTCAGCACCACTCTTACTGACGAGCTTGCTAAAGATTATGGAGTGGTAGGAAGCAATATATCTCCCATTGTCTCAGAAAGATTATCAAGATGTATAATACTCTTACAAAAAGAAAATTGCATATGGTAGACAATGCATGTATAACTTCTTTTTCTTCTTCATTCCTTTCCCCACGCACTATGAATGTTACATTACTCCAGCTTCACCATTAATTTTGACTTACTCGTTTGTGTAGTCTGCAACTAGGTACATTGGTTTATGTTTGTTTTGTAATGATCCTTTTACATGCATCACTAGTTACCGTTCTGTTAAATTCTATTATTGGTATCAAAGATTCTGATGAACCATGATTTGTGACCTTGCTGTTCACAAAATGGGCATAACTTGTGGATTGTAAAGGTGGTCTTACGTTTTTCATAAAGAATATCTTGATTGCCATCAATGGTAAAGGCCATGGCAAATTAACATGTAGAGATTGAATCAACATTGCAAGAATGCCTTGAATGAAGGAAATTCTGGTTCAGGATGATGAAACAACAAAGGTAAGTGAACAAACAGGGTTTGTACTATTTCCTGAAGCATTGGGCTCCATATAAGATTAGTGATTACATAATTGAATGTATAATGAAAACCTTCGATTGAAGACACTGATGTGAATTTACCACACCATGGGCATAAATCATTTTGGAACAAAGCTTTCTGGTTGTGATGTGTTCCTTCCTTGAAGTTTTGAAATCCTTCTGCTGCTGGTTCTGATGCTCCTATGTGGATGAGAAAGAAATTCCGCGATATTGACCCAACGCTGAAGAGCTGTGACTTATATCCATTTTAGAATGACTTTTGATCTGAATCAATAATTGTTCTAACCACTTGACAGCAGGGTCAAATTCCCAGATTCTTGACTCACGAGCTAGTACAAACAACCTATCAACATCTATCCTGTCATGCTCTGTAAGAATTTCATAAGTTTCAATAAGATCACGTATCATTCTCTGAAACTCTAAGAATATGGGCTCAATTTCTTCACCTTCTCCTCTTAGACAATCCAGCCATCCCAAGTATTAGTCTGCTGAACGTCTGTTGCACTCCCTTTACAGCAAGTATATCCTTTTCTTAGATAAGGAGATCAAAAATGTACAAAATACACCAGCTGTGGTCTCACCAAGGCTGCATACAACTGCGGCAAGACATCGTTAAATCTGTACAAAAATCCCATCTTTTATGAAATCTAACATCTCGAATTAATATATTAAAGTAAGCATGAATAGCGTTAGGCCAGGCGTTTAAAGGAAGAAAGGCTGTTTGTCTTAAAACTCAGTTGACAGTTTGCCCATCCATCTTCTCAAAAGTTAAAAATTGCACGGAAGGATGCAGGAGTAAGGGACAATGAGTACACTGAACATATAAAAAAAATGTGTGAGGAAGTTAAAAAATGTTAAAAATGTAGAAGGTCACCATCTTGGCCCATAGTGAGTTCCACATTAGGGAGAGACTTCAATAATGTTTTAGCATTGGAGTAGAACGTATGGGGTAACTGAATAACACATTTTCATCTTACACTTTATGAACCTGGCAACTGAATTTAGACAGTCTGGAGTAATGTACAGGAAAGGAAAAAGTGATTGTGGACAAAGTAGTGGAGAAATGGATAGGCAACAGAATAGGGAGACTGGCTGATTTCCTCAGCGATGAAACAAGTTGGAGGTGGGGGTTTGCTATGAGGTCAGAGATGTATGTGAAAATATGATCATTATTGTAACTAATACAGCAGCAGGACGTCCCATTAGTAATGGTATTTATGAAATAAATCATGCAGTAATTAATAAGATACTTCTCAAAATCTTAGCAGAACACCCAGGTTGTAAACTAAAATCTGCCTTGACGTGGGAAATCCATGAGATGACATCATGACCAATGGTTGAGGGCTACATAGTACATCTGGGGACATAGTATATTACGAAAGAGAAGGACATAGAGTGTGGATAGCAAAACATTGTTAAATCTGTGGGAAGTAAGGGAGGAAATTACAAGATCCCTTGCAGAAATATTTGCATCAACTATAACTATGGATTTAGTTGTTAGTGGATTCAGCCATGATTTATTGATATAACAAGGAGAAACTCACAGGCATCTTTATGATGCATGTTGATGATTTTCTGTGAGTGATTCTGTTGAATTTGTGCTATGTGTGATGAATAAAGTAAGAAAGATGTTTAGATTGGTAGTAAGCTTCTTTTACTCTTTAGGATTAGATGTTGAGTAGAGCAGGTCAGGAGTGATTAGATTAGATTTTATTGTCACGTGTACCTGAGACCAGGGATACAGTGAAAAATGCAGAGTCACTACTCTCTGGCGCCATCCCAGAATTTTAAGTCAGTTATGACAAAATAGTAATTTTACAAAATTGTAATCAGACTTTCAGGGTGCATTCTGTAAGGTTAATTAGTACTGATTATACGTTTATAGAATCAGACCAAATAGTAAAGAGTGAAACACGATGCATTTCACATCCATATATTTTGGACAGTTATGCAAAGTAGCTTATGGCAGATGAAGTATTGACTGAGAGTGGACAAATTGATACTGACACACTGGTTAGAACTATCTATCGCGTGGACACGTGTCAAAGGTCTTCATTAAAGAAGAAATGCCAGAAGGGACCATGAATAGAAATATGCCACCATTGTAGAGAGAGCAGAGAAAGCAATTAGCAAATACAAACATTACTAAGGTAAGATCCATGGATTGGCAAAAGGAAGTAAAGGCGTTGAAGGCCAGAAAACATAATATGATTTCTGATACAACAAGGTGCAGGGCTGGATGAACACAGCAGGCCAAGCAGCATCATAGGAGCAGAGAGGCTCTGCTCAAGCCTCTCTGCTCCTATGATGCTGCTTGAGCCTCTCTGCTCCTATGATGCTGCTTGAGCCTCTCTGCTCCTATGATGCTGCTTGAGCCTCTCTGCTCCTATGATGCTGCTCGAGCCTCTCTGCTCCTATGATGCTGCTCGAGCCTCTCTGCTCCTATGATGCTGCTTGAGCCTCTCTGCTCCTATGATGCTGCTTGGCCTGCTGTGTTCATCCAGCCCTGCACCTTGTTGTCTCGGATTCTCCAGCATCTGCAGTTCCTACTATCATATGATTTCTGATTGTGGACCACGCAGTGAACAAAGCCATATGAATAGATCACAGATTTGCAAAAGGAGCTTACATCATAGGAAGGGGAGAACTGTAGGAGCAGTCTAGAATGAGTTGGGTTGGAATTTGGGTGGAGATTGTAGCTTGTATACAACAAGGACAATGGAACTGGCTAGGAATACTGACCAGGAGCGGAAGCTTATGATCAAGGTGTTTTAGTAACTACTAATACATTAGAAGATAAGTTGATAAAGAATGACAAATAACAAGAATTGGAAAGCTGAAAAGAATTTAGTGTATATACAGAAGTGCCAGAGAGAGGCAGCCAGGCTTATCACAATAATGGATATGCACTGAAAAGGTGTTTTCTGTGTGCTATATACAAGGCTAAAGATAGACTGGTGTCTCAGGGTTTCGAAGAGAGATTGGTGATCAAAATATGAGAGTCAGTTCCCCTGTAGGGTGAGGTATGAACTGAAGATGTTCTCAACTCTTTGTTTTAGCAACGTATTCCTGGGAATGGAAATGGATGTGTGTAAAAGCTGCATTTTTGTAACGAGAAAAATTAAAGGGAAGTCTTTAAGTCATGTAAGGATGGCAACATCGAAGTGAAATAGCGGATATTAAATAAGTATGTTTATGTTTTGAATAATGGATCAGAATGTATTTCTCAGTTAGGTTTGTCGAACTGAAACCAGATTACATTTAGTTGTTAGTGGATTCAGCCATGTTTTATTGATATCAAAAGGAGAAACTCACAGGCATCTTTATGATGCATGTTGATGATTTTCTGGTGATTCTTCTGAATTTGTGCTATGTGTGATGAATAAAATAAGAAAGATGTTTAGATTAGTAGTTAGGTTTCTTTTACTATATAGGAGTAAATATCGAGCCGAGCAAGTCAGGAGTGATTAGATTAGATTTTATTGTCACATGTACCTGAGACCAGGGATACAGTGAGAAGTGCAGAGTCACTACTCTCTGGCGCCATCCCAGAACTTTAAGTCAAAAGCAGAAAATAAGAAACAAAACAAAAGAAATGGCCAGATTCTGGCTGGACCAGTGGGGTCATAGAGACTGGAGGCAGTTATGGATTTGAAGAGTGTTGAGGTCACTGGAGGAAGTTAGAGATAGAGAGTTGTAAAGTTCCACTGCTAAGGAAGGTTGTAGGGGCTTGAAGATGTTGCAGATGATTTGTGTTGTCAGGACTGAAGGAAGTAACAGAATTAAAGAGGGCCGAAGGAGTTTATAGAGATTGAGATGGTTATAGTCCTGGCCAAAGTCACTGAGACACAGAGTGATTCAGTGACTGGAGAAGATTATACAGAGAGGGATGGTTGTTGGACTTTACGAAGATAGGGAGGTTTGAAGGTGCTGGAGCAGTTTACAGAGACATGGAGAATTGTAGGAGCTGGGAGACATGAGAGATAATGAGGGTTGTAGCGGATTCAGGAGTTTACAGAAATAGGGAGTACTTGTAGGAGCTTGAGGAATATACAGAGGGAGGCAGGTTTTTGGTATTCCAAGTTGTTAGAGGTTTGGAGTGCTGTACAGACTGGGGAGATTTCAGAATTAGGGAGGGATACAACAGCATGAAGAGTTTCCAGAAGTGTTGAAAGATACTGACTTGGACATTTTGGTCCTGTGCCGCTCAGGGTCATCAGAATGAGTTGATCTTATTGAAATGTACAGATCCTTAGGGG